AAGCGGCGTAGGGCGAGCCGTACTGCCACAGCTCGAGGCAATTGATGTGCATGAGGCGCTGGGCTCCTGTCCAGGAACCGGCGGCTGGCATGCCAATTGCACATGGCACCCCAACCCGTGGTAGAGACGCATCCGTGGAGACAACGAGATGCCTGGAAACTCGCTGAATAGGGACACCGGTCCGTAAGAAGCTGAGGTTCGACCACGGGAAGAAGGTTCGGCGGCACGCTGGAGTCACTGGAACTCGGAGCGAGCCGCGATGCCATGTCCACCTCGGGACTCGATCGCGAAGCCACAGCTGAAGCGGTCTCATATGAAGCAAACCGAGCGGCGTTACCGCGGCCACGGATGCCATATGCCCCAGGAGCCTCTGAATAGTTTCAGTGGAACCGCACTCTAGCCCTCGAACTGTCGAAGACAAGTCAGCAGTGAGTGCGCGCGCTCGTTCGTGAGCTGGCGGGACATGGCGACCGAGTCTATCTCCATACCGAGAAAGAGATCCTCTGCACGGGGCAAAGTTTGCTCTTTTCCCGGTTGAACCCCGAAGGCCCAGACGGGCTAGGTGCCGTAGCAACCAGGTCTCTGTGTTCGCAACCCTGAGCTCGAGAGTGAGCTAGTATCAGCCAGTCGTCGAGAAAAATTCAGGATGCGAACCCCGTGCTCGCGAAGGGGAACAAGGGCTGCCTCGACGGTCTTCGTGAAGACGCGAGGGGACAGAGCTAACCCGAATGGGAGAACCGTGTACTGATATGCCTCCCTTGAAAGCAAACCGAATAAGCGGTCTGCGTTGAGGCAAAATGGAGGCAAGAAAGTACGCGTCCTTCAGGTCGAACGCTGCAGACCAATCCTGAAACCGAACACATTCGAGAATGCGTTTGGCTGTGAGCATTTTGAACGGTAGTCGATGGAGAGAACGGTTCAAAATGCGCAGGTCCAGGATCGGTCGTAACCACCGGTTTTCCTGGGGACAATGAAGTAGGGGCTGTAAAACCCGGACCTCACCTCGGCTGGAGGGACCGTCTCGATTGCACCCTTCGCCAGCAGGGTCGCAACCTCCGCTCTCAAGACTGGGGCATTGCACCGATCATCGTGGAGCGAACTCCCCTGAAGCGGGGAGGAGACCGTGCGAACTGAATCGCATAGCCGAATCTGATCGTTCTGATGACCCAGCGGGATCCCCCGGGAGGCTCTAGCCAGGCTTCCAGGAAGTGAACCAACGGGGTCATTCGAAACCACAGACGTCCCCCCGGAGGGGCAGCGGGGCGGGTCGACTGGCACGCGTGCAGGGGTTACCCCGCTCGGATGCGTCGAAGCCCGCTCTCCCGACAGAAGAGACCAGGGAAGGTGGAGCATTCCACGGGGGTCTGTTCTGCCGGGGGTCTGGCGATAGAGGGGGAAGGGATTGGCGTAGCCCGGGGACGACCTCGCACCCTTCCGCGCCCTCAGAGACAGAGAGGAATGTGTGGGCTGACGCACTGGACGTCGAGCCGCACTCATTCCAGTCTGTGGGCTCAGTGATGATGTCAAGTCTTCTTAACCAACTCAGGGCGCTGCCCACCCGTGGGCGAGCAGCGGGAGCTGAAAACGAAAGATTTTCCCCCGGCCCCTCCACCGGGGGCAGGAGGGGCCTGCTCCGCCTCCTGGGGAAAAAACTCAACTCCATCACTGAGCAGCCCGTATCAGGATCGTCGCTTACCTGGCGTTTAGCGGGGTGTGCGGCCTGAGGGGGCTGTGACGCCTGCCGGCGGCCTCCTCCACGCCGTGGCCCGGATGAAGGCTGCTGCTGGGGCGGGGCGGGAGGGAGGGGAGCCGCGGGGGGCGTCCTCGGCGGCGAGCAGCGGGAGGCATCTGTGCCGACGACTGGGTGGAGGCAGCAGCTGGTCGTCGGGGCAGAATATGATTGATTGCCTCCGTCTGCTCCTGGGCAGTGGAGAACTGCTGGGCAAAGTCCTCGACTGCACCGCCAAAAAGGCCAACCTGGGAGAGAGGGCGTCGAGCAGACGAATCCGCTCAGCGCTCCGAGTGTCCGCCAGGTTGACGCTCCTGGACCACACTAGTGGCCATCACCTGACCAACGGCGCGAGCGGCCACTTTCGTTGCCCTTTTGGAGAGCAAGGTCAGTGGCGGACTGCAAATCTTCGAATGCCGTTGGGTCAGTCCCGCCCTCGAGCATATCTCTGAGCATCTGCGCTTGCACAGTGCTCATCGCATGCAAAGCGGAGGCCGCCCGTCCCGCCGCTCTATAGGAACGCGCCGCCATGGCAGACGAGAACCTACAGGCTTTGGATGGGTGCTTAGGAGGACCACGGGAGGAGGCGCTCTGTGGACACAGCTGTATCGCACAGAGCGCTCCAGCGGGGGCATCCCAGTGCACCCACGGGCGGCCCCCCATCGAGGGGGAAAGGCGGGGAGAGATCGCGCTCTCGAGTGGACAGAGGAGTCCCCCAAGAGCGCGATAACTCCGCATGCAGCTCGGGAAAAAAGGCAATGGAGTTGGCCGTGGCCTCGCGGCGGCAGCTTTGTCCAAAAACCAATTATCCCTCCGTGAGAGATCGGGGGAGAATGGAGGATGTCACTCTAACCCAATACTCCCAGCGGCTCGAGACAGCATGCCGTCAGCTCGGGATCCGACACGGCAGCGCTGGCTCTCCCAAAGGGGGCAGCGCAGCCGCATCCTCATCTCCCGAGGACTGTAGCCCGCCTAGTGATGCTGCGATCGACATCACATCATCATCTGGAGCGCTGCTCGAAGCAGCCGGTACCACTGAAGAGGCAGCCGACTGAATCGAACTAACGCTCGCTGGCTCACGCACTGAGGCGGGAGGTGTGGCCCGAGAAATCGTCGGGGCTTTATGCCACACCGTCACCGTTAATTCGCCGGGTCCCCGGTCGACGGGCCCCCTTTCGTGAAGGAAGCCGATCGAGTAAGGGGGACCGGGGCTCTCACTCTAGTGAGATTTTTTTTTTTTTTTATATATATATATATTTTTTTAACCTCAGTGTGGAGATGGTCATGTCCCCATAGCAGGAACATGAGTCATCCACGAACGCTGCTGCTGCATGCTGAATGCCCAGGCATACAGAGCAGCGAACGCGACCATCAGATGACGACAGAAATCGACCGCATCCAGAAGAACACGGGCGAACCGTCTTTAAAAAGACGTGCCGCGTGTAGCTCTTTTACAGAGAGGAGGAAATTCACTCTTTCAGCGCTGAGGCGACCAGGGAGAAGCGCAAAGTCTGGCAGACCACTGCACAGATCGCAGGCAATGCAGAAACTCGCTGGGTACCGCCATCACACCAACACTGAAGAGGACGCTCGTCTCGAAGAGTCTTGTAATAGCTTTCAGGAGTGAAGAGGTTCTCTTGGCTCCGAAGCGAAAACATACTGCGGTTGCGTTCACTTCCTCCTTTTATACTCACGGAGTAGGGCGGAGTACGCTATGCAAATTTCCGCAGCCCCAAGGCATTGCATGCCATTGGCTCGTGTTTAAATACTCGAAGAGGATTGGCTTTCTATGCGAAATCCCCCAATCTCCGTCACTTCTGACGTAACTCGAAGTGACTACGAAAGGGAACAGTGCCTATAAACGTTTGGATACTGCCTATAAACGCACATTAACAATGTGCTTTAAACATATATGAACTGTATTTAAACATTCATGAATGACTCACCATAAACAGAAACACTGAAGATCTTGTCACTGTCGTTGCTGCTGCTGAAGATCTTCAGTTGATATTCTCCAGAGTGTGTGTTTCTGATGTTCATGATGGTCAGAGATCCAGTCTGATGATCCAGCTTCAGTCTGTCTCTGAATCTCTCAGTGCCTTCATTACACTGAACATCTGTGCAGAACTTACTGAGATCTCTATTGATTTGAGCGATGCGAGTGTCATTATAATACCATATAATATCATCTTGTTGGTTTGTTTGAACACCAGTGTATAGAGTGACTGAATCTCCCTCTATCACTGACACTTCTTCTGTATCAACACCTGAAGCTCCTGGGGAAAAGCCAAACAAAAATATACAATAGTGCTGTGAAAATGTTTTTTTTTTTTTTCTAGAGATCATATTTTAAGTAGAAAAATATGTCTGGATTTATTTAAAAAGTAAACATGATTTAAGAGCTGTGGGTGTAAACGTTTTGATCCAAAGATAAAGGTATTTTGTATTTAATTTGTCTTCCTTGAAACATGTATTTACAAAAAAAAAGTGTAGCATGATGATGCTGTTGTCTGGCTCATGTCTCCCTAAGTGACTTTTAATTTGCTGCAGCTGTGAATGGTTCTGGGCAGTTAATTTTGAGCCAATCGCGAGGGCTACACCTCTTTTATAAACCGGGACTTTTATTTTGACAAATGGTGTTACCGGTACGCGTCCTGTTTACCTGCCCAGCGACCTGATGTCTGCCTGGTTATCGGTCTACCGAAGTGCCGCGAGTATGGTTGGCTTCATTTCTCTTCTCTTTTACTCCTTAACTTTATAGCTTGGGCTTATAGGTAATGTTTTGTGCCGTAGAATCCCCTGTGCGGCAGCAGCCCTTTCACAAGCTGAGTGTGCGCCCTGTGACCAGCAATCAGAGCTCAGGGCCTGTGATAATCATAGGTATGTTTTATGCCGAGTGATAGTTGAATGGTTGGGAACTCTTTGTAAATTGACATCCTGTGCATTTTAGGGAGTGCTAATTAACCGGGGGTGCAGCCGCAAGTTGGCTACATCGACGCTGAACATCTGCTGCTTTGCTTGACCATCTTTCATGTTGCGTGTTGCTCACGGGCTTTCTCCGCTGTACCAGGCTGCCTCTTTTCACGGGATTTACGATTATGGGATCCGTGGCTGACTCAAGCTAGCGAGTGTCTGGCCTGTTTCAATGTTGCTTGCTGGACTCAGTTGGATTTCTCCTACCTCTCTGTGTTGTGAATGTTTGAGTAATGTTGTAAAACGTGGTTGATGTATTGGCATCATTTCTTTTCGTTTGTTTTGTTCTTTTTATTGGTTAAAGTTGTTTGTGTGTGTTTATTTTATTCACACTGTTGTCTGGAGGCCTTTCCCCCTCTGCTGATGTTCAAGGGGATTGGCCCATTTGTTATGATTGTTTTTGTTTGTTTCCTTGTGTTGTCCACACTGACGGGAGACCGTGGAAGTTGCTGATCGTCAGTGTGGCATTTTTTTCCCTTCATTTATTAGTTGTTATGGTTTATTAATGTTGTATGTTTGTTGATGTGAGGGTTAGTAGTAGTTATTCATATTGTAGGTTCATGTAATCCTTCTGGGTGATTTACTGGACCTGTTCATTGTGATCGTGTGTATGCAACTGTGTAACTCTCATATGTCTTTTTGTCTAGGTGCTGAGAGCGGCCAGTGGGAGCAGTACCCAGGCGGTGGTGGGTCCCTTGATGTATGCAGTGATTGTGTGTTCACTAGTGTGGTTAAATTTTTTTGAGGTGTGTGTGAACCCGGCACGTGTGATTGGGGTGTTTCCCATGGATGCTCATCGTTGGAGCTACTAGTCTCCCACTGGCAAGCTTCAGCACAACACTGTGTGTGTGTGTAGGAGTGAAGTTGGTGTATGTCTTATTGCATTGATGTAAGAAAATAAATAAATTCAATTTTGGTATTGGACCACTGTCTCTGGCTGATCCATCAACGAACTTGAGTGCCTGGTTGAACCAAATACTTAATTCTTTGGGTGTAAGTCCCATCGTGGCGTAGTCTGCAAACTGCCTGGGCCTAAGCCCTGAAATCTGCTAAGTGTCCGTCCCCCATTCTGCCACAAAAGGTTTTGTAAATCTTCATCCTGTTCATAGGTTTACACCCCAATTCTTAGTGCATCATATTTACTTCTGTAGTATCAGTGAAAGTTAGCAGCTTTTATAATGTGTTTGAGTCCCTCGAGTGTCCTCAGTGTGAAAAGATGGATCTCATAATCATACAGTCACTGCTGGAAAGGGATCAAATATGGAAAAGATTATGAAAAAAATAATCATTTGCGGGATCTGGAGAATTTTTCTGAATAACGGGCAGTTTAAGTGTTCAGGACAAACAAGGGACTCCAGAACAACCATCACAAAACAAAACAGTTGTGTATCATCCTGGTCGAATTACGCACGCAGTATTAACAACAAACCATATGTAAACTTTTAAACGGGGTAATTTTTATACATTTTTTTTTAAAAAGGGGTAGCCTATGTAAACTTTTGATGACAACTGTAAACATGAATGATCCACATAATTTACAACCAAGTTCATTTTTTGCCCCCCGTTTCTTTGCCCCTCCCACGTAAATAACGTGTTTAAGGCTACATTACATTTTATTAATTAGGCAGAACCTTTTGTCCAAAGCGATTTACATTACATTCAAGCTACATTTAATCAGTTTATGCACTGAAGAATACTACTAACATTTACTGACATGTTTATTACGTATTTTATACCAAGTCACACAAAAAATATTTTCACGCCACTGAAACTGATCATGGATGATTTCTTTGTGAATTCTCTGACAGTGTTAGGCTGTTATTACCATGACATAATCTTAACCCTATTCCTGATATTACTATACAGCGACTAATATGTATGTGGTCACAGACATCCCTGCAACACCAGAAAATAGATGTAACAAATCTTAGACTTACCGTGGAGGAGTGAAATGAAGATCATCGCGAGCAAGTTAAATAGAAGCGACATTTTCCACACTTCTCCCCTAAAGTGAATGGCTATTGTAATTCATAAAAGAGTGCTGCTTTAAGGGCGGCGGTATGGAGCGAAGTATGTGCCTAACCCTCACACACAAACAAAACGTGTTTTACTCACACCCAATGATTCACAAACAAACTCAGTGTGGTTTGTAAATACAAAACATCACTCACAAACTAATGCATATTGTTCTGCAAATAAAAAACGTACCTATCAAACAAATACAGTATGTTTTACATATACATAAAAACGTATTTCTTCAATGACCAAAATATCCTGCAAGTACAAACTAAAATCTTTAAAAGTACAAAACAAAATTCTACAAGTACAAAACAAAATTCGACAAGTACAAAACAAAATTCTACAGGTACAAAGCAAAATTCTACAAGTACAAAACAGAATTCTACAACTACAAAACAGAATTCTACAAGTACGAAAAACTGTCACGTGACTTTTGGCACTATTTTTCCGCGTCCAGGCAGAATCAGATTTTCTCACAAATATGGAACAACTTCCTCTTCTAGAACAGTAGATGGCGCTAAGATAAGGGATCAATTTGCTCGCCTTTGCCCATGGGAAAATGAGCGGTGAACAGGTGTGTTTCTGTCCAACTTTATCTATAATTAACCTTATTGAGGTTTTGGAAAATGTTTATTATATAGACAGAAATCCACATTAGCACTTAGTAGTAACGAACTCCACTCTAGGATAAGGGAATCTATAAGCTGAAAGCTCTGCCATCATGTTGCTTTTACTTTTTGTAAAAATGTTTCATTTACTGAATGACTCTATTTCTTTCGTTCTCCGTAAATTAATGAGAATTAATTTCATTTAATTGAAAGGGTCCCACTTATTCATTAATTTAGTTGGAATTCAGTCAGCGTAACTGTTAATGTAATAAAATAATGAATGAACAAAACAATATAGGCCTACAGTTGTTTCTTCCTTGTGATGTATTGTCCAAATTATTATTTTGGACAGACAAATGAAACCCTCCTTTCAATTAAATTAAATGGTCTCATTAATGTATGGAGAACGAAAGTAATAGATTCGTTCAGTGAACATAATCACTAATTTAGTCATTTCACACGCGTCTTATGTAGATTATTAATATTATTTTTTAAAGCAACATATGACATAGATTTCAGCTTAGATTCCCCTAGAGAGAGTGAAGTGCTAATAGCGGTAATATGGATTTTTGTCAAGAAATAATTAACATTTTGCAAAAGAAAACCTCAATAAGGTTAATTATATCTTGTCTCGAGCAAGCCCCTGGTTAAGACACACAGATTGTACAAGGTCAAGCCAGGGTGGAATGACTATGTAGAAGAGACACATGCTGAGGCAAGAAGAGCCTTTAAGGCATGGGATGAGTCAGGTAGACATAAATGGGGTCCGTTATTTGATTACAAGAAACGGGCAAATGCAAAGTTTAAATATGCTCTACGGTACATTAAGAGGAAGGAAAATATAATGAGGTCGGATTCTTTGGCAAGGAAGTTGCAATATAATAGTCCTATTGATTTCTGGAAGGAAATTAAGAGAATGAATAATTGCAAAACATCATTACCAACGAACATTAATGGTGTCAATGGCCCTGATGAAATTATTCAGCTATGGCGGAAACATTACTATGAGCTGTTTAACTGTGTTAAAAGTAAGCTGTTTACGATGGGTGACATTGATAGCAATGAAGATGTAACTGTCTTACCTCAAGAAATCTATGATGCAATTGGGATGCTAAAGGATAATAAGGCATGCGGTAAGGATGAGATATCTGCGGAGCATTTGAAATTTGCAAGTAGGAAACTCTGTCCATGGTATTTTACCTGATTCTGTTTTATCGGTTATATTAGTGCCTATCATTAAAGATAAAGTGGGTAAGATTAATAGCATAGACAATTACAGGCCCATAGCCCTAGCCAGTATTTTATCCAAAGTCCTGGAGAGAATTATATTGAATAGGTTGGAACATTTTGTTTTGACATCTGACAATCAGTTTGGCTTCAAACCAAAGCATGGCACTGACATGTGTATTTTTGCCCTGAAGGAGATTTTAGATTTGTATAATAGGCATAATTCAACTATTTTTCTGTGTTTTATTGATGCCTCCAAAGCCTTTGATAGGGTAAACCATGAGAAGCTATTCTACAAATTGTACAACAGAGGGGCCCCTAAATATCTAGTGAGAATCTTGGCCTTCTGGTATGCCCATCAGTCTTTTTTTGTGAAGTGGGGTAATGCTGTGTCTGCCTCATTTAATATAGGTAATGGAGTTCGGCAGGGAAGCATTCTATCTCCCTTTCTCTTTAATATCTATATGGATGATCTATCAAATCTGTTAAACAGCTGTGGGACAGGCTGTAGGGTTGGGGACACTGTTATTAACCACCTAATGTATGCGGATGACTTGGTCATTTTTTGTCCGTATAGTGCTGGTCTCCAACAACTACTAAGGGTCTGTTCCCAATATGGTTTGGACTTTGACATTACTTACAACTCTAAGAAGAGTAATATAATGATTGTTAGAAGCAGGGAGGATAGTAAACTCTCATTTCCTGCATTTTATCTGTCTGGTACTTTACTGAAAGTGTGTGATGAGGTCAAATACTTGGGACATTATATCACTGATGACCTGTCTGATGATAGGGACATTCATAGACAGTACTGTATGATATATGCACAAGCTAATATGTTGAATCGCAAATTTAATATGTGCTCACTTTCTGTAAAGATTAGACTTTTTAAAGCTTTTTGTACTCCGATGTACACTGCTCACTTGTGGCGGCGTTATAAAAAAAGTAGTCTGCAGAAACTCAAGGTGGCATATAATGATGGGTTGCGGTTGCTGCTTAAATTGCCACGAGGGGGCAGTGCGAGTCAAATGTGTGTAAGTGTTAATGTATCCACATGTCCTGCTGTACTCAGGAATCTCATGTACAAATGTATGTGTAGACTAGCAGAGTCACATAACAGCATCATCAAAACACTAGTGAATCCGGCATTGAGTGCTGTTAGGTTCACTTCTGGTTTGTGGAATCATTGGCGTTTTAGTTTGTATGTTAACATTTGAACACTTTTTTGTATGTATTGCAGAATACTGACTATGTCGTCATTTTATAGAACTCTGTTCTTTTCTCTTCCTTTTTTTCTCTCTCTCTCTCTTTCTTCTTTTTCTTTTTAATGCACTTTGTAATATTATGGTATATGCATAGGGCTATGGACCATCTTGTGTGTCCTGAATAAAGATTATCTATCTATCTATATAAAGTAATACAGAAACACACCGTTCACCGCTCACTTTCCTCAGCTGTAGAGTGTTGGGAAAACGTATTTCGTTACAGAATAAATGCCCCAAAATGTCATTTGTAACGTATTCCATTACATTAGCTACTCAATCTGAGGGATTACATCCGCATTGAATTGCCTTTTAGAAGTGTAAGAATTGTGGCCATCTAATTCTGTTTACTAAACTGGGCTATTCTGGTGGGTGCGGTGATGCGGTGGTGACGCGTGTAACATGTAGGGTGGCACTGCCAATAAAGCACCTAAAGCTGTCACAAAGAACCGGCAAAAGATTATGAATAGGCTATGTAAAATATAGCAAGAAGATATTTTAATTGTTTATTAATAAACAAGTGTATCTTTGTCAGTGTGTCGGCTGAAAACATGAAGATGACAATGCTGACTCGCGATCTTCGCCGTGAACGCGCCAGGATTAATAATCTAGCCTACAAGACGCGTGTGAAATGACTAAAGTAGTGATTATGTATACACTGAACGAATCTATTACTTTCGTTTCGTTCTTAATAATGAAAACATTTAATTTAATTGAAAGGAGGGTTT